GCAAAATTTCTCCCTCTTATATATCCAATAATTAATTCGCTCTCAATAGTTTTTCAATAGTTTTTTTTCATAAGGGAGGGAACTTTCCATTTAGTGACACAAGTCGGCACAAGTGACATAAATGGTCGTTCTGGCTTTGTTATACAATGCAAGGGCTCGACTATCGGGCCTCGCGCGGGATGATGCAACCCCGCAGGATCAAAAATTTTATCTTCTAGATTAGAAGACGTGCTGTTCTCTCCACGTCCCAAGCGGAACTAACTTGTTCACTATTCAATGAGCAATAAAGATAGAATGACTCTTATATGTCGATTTGTGTCGCTAGCAGAAAGCAAATATCTATTGTACCAGTTTAAGGAGTAAAATTTAGAAGAATAATTTTGTCTTACCAATAATTCACTTGTTACATTAACATTTCCATCAAAAAGTACAACACTTGATTTTTTTATATCTTTTGGATTGAGACCCGAAGGAATAGAAATATTACTTCGTACTATTGCTAGAATAACATAAACATGTTAAAAAAATATAATAAATAATAACTTTACAATTACATCAATTCAAGAGGATATTTACGTAGTGATTTTGTATGTTTCTTTTTCTTTGTATTTTTATTTTTCGCACATATGTTTTTTGAAATTTCAGATTCTGAAGATGAACTGTGTCTGTTATCATATTTAACGCGACAACCTTTTCCCATCTGTTCGTCGTCAGTGGTTTTATATGTAGGATCCTCAGCAATTTTTCTTGCTTTTTCCCAAGTGTCTGTAAAGTAATTTTGTACTTTAAACAATTCTTTTCATTATCAAGAGACACGGTAGTGTCTCGCGCCAAGTGCACGCGCAGCACGAGACCGTCGTGACTATATTACGCGAGTACGCCAGTTGCGAGTACCCGAGATTTATGTATATACTATACAATTTCTACGAACAATTAAGGGAGGAGGCTAGGGTGATGGTTTTAAAAAATAGACTTGGCTTTAGCTTGTACTTCTACTGTTAATAATTTACTTTAAAATTCCAATGTGGTAGGAAATAAAAATACACATATTAAACAGGAAATCAAGATAAAAAAGATTAAAAAATATTAATTTTTGGCTGAGATATAATAAAAAAACGCCTCTTACGCCTCTGCATGGTTGACACGATTCCTTAATTTTTAGGCGTTTAAAACAAATAATGTTGATGTCATTTTAATCTTAAATGATGTCGCTATCGTCCGATCGAGGCTTTTTTTCGATATCTTAAACCATTTTTATTTTATGGTTAAAAAAGGAACGAAATTTTTACGAAAAATCGTAACCTTAATTGTAGATGAGCCATTTTGTTGAAAACTATTATTTTAAAAAAAGCTACGATTGCGGACGATAGCAATATCATTTCAAATTAACATGACATCAAAATTATTTATTTCAGATGCCTAGAAATTAAGAAATCGTATCAATCACGAAGATAAGATTTTTCAAACAGACGCATTTTGTCTTATTAAATCTCAGTCAAAAATTAATATTTTTTAACTTTCTTTGTCATAGGCCGGTCTTCATAATCTGTTGTTATTTCAAGACCATGCTAAGTAATGTCTTAAGATACTAATACAGCTCTGTGATTGGTTAATAACATCTTAAGATTGTACTTAAGACGGTCGTAAATATAAGAATCAACTATAAATACTGGCCTTAATCTACTATTTAATATGTACTTTTACTTCCTACCACATTGAAATAAAGTAAATTTTTAACAGCATAATTATATACAAACTAAAGGCAAGTCTATTTTTTGACTCATCACCCTGGCCTGTCCCCCTTAATATATGTATTTAAAAATAAAACGTGATATACATACCACAGAACTGTTCAATTTCAATGTCACATAAATCCCATGTTGTTTTATCAGGTGTATAGCGATTTGCAATAGATGAAGTAACATTTTTAATTTTGGTTGGCCACCAACATTTAACTCCGTTTTTACTACTTTCCAACCAATTTGTTGGTACTTCAGAAAAAGTACTGTTTTCTTGAAACTTAACTATAGCGTACATTTGGTTTTTATTCATTGTAATTCCTGTAAATAAAATTTTGAAGAAGTTAGGATGTATTATGGTTTATTGAAAAATAACATGACAAATAATATATAGTAAAGATATTTTTTTAATGGGTATGAATAATAGGTATTACAACATGTTTTCCAGCATCATTTTCTATCGGAATTAATAAACATTTTGTACTTATATCTGTTTCTTTTATAAAGAAATAATTAGATAGGTCATCGGGATTTACGATGGATATTCCTAACATTTGGGAATCACATGGCACATCGAAAAAAGGCTGCGGAGTTAAAAATTGTTGCACTTTTAATTCGATGTCAGTTTTCCCTTTATGTTTTACACAAATATCATCAATAATGACGCTACATCCGTTTTGCAACAGACAACAATTATCAGGTTTATTTCTTGAAATGGTAAAAGTACTAAATTTTATGCATTTTACTTTTTCATTCTTGTATTTGATTATAGGATAAGATGGTATTACAACAATTTTCTTTTCCTCGGCAAGATTTTGCTCAATGATTCGATTACTTATTTGATGCAAAGGCCTACTACTTGCTCGGAGTTTGGACTTTAGCTTTCCCAAATAACTTTCATACTTAAAAGTACTAAAACTTTCTAAAGGTCCAAATCTTTTTACATCATTTGGTAAATATATCAAACTGTGAACATTATATATAACGTTATAATTTCCATAAATATTACCATATTCAGAAAGAAACCACTTTAGCAATTTGTCAGCATAGCTATTTAATACTTGACATAATTTTGCATCGCTCAATATTCGAATGCTTATACAAAGACTTAAAAAATGTATATAAATGTGATTAGGTACAATATTTAATAAAACTATTGGTCCTGTATACAGGGTGTCAGATTCGATATGGACGACCCCAAAGATTATAGTAGATTGGGTTAAACTGAGAAGAAAAGTTATATAAAATTTTACAAAATCGTAATTATTATCGGCCTAATTCAGAAAAACGTCTGAGCCAATAAGGCCGGACTCGGCAGCATGCAAAATGGTGTGTTTGTTGACATCTCTAAAAAATCGATAGCGAGAGGTGGAGTCACGCATCGATCGATGAGAGACGGTGGCGAGCGGGGAGCGGGGAGCGGTGAGCGAGCGAACGCGTTCGCTAGAGATGTCAACAAACACACCATTTTGCATGCTGCCGAGTCCGGCCTTCCGCTCCTCCGTGCACTTATTGGCTCAGACGTTTTTCTGAATTAGGCCGATAATAATTACGATTTTGTAAAATTTTATATTACTTTTCTTCTCAGTTTAACCCAATCTACTATAATCTTTGGGGTCGTCCATATCGAATCTGACACCCTGTATAATAGAAACTGACGCAACTCTGTTCCTTTCCATCGATCTATATCAGTCATATCTCGTGATTTTCTCGCAAATTCTCTCGAAATACATTGCGATATGGAAACTAATTTAGTACTAGCTGCGGCAAACTGATTATTTAGAAGTCTAATATTTTTGGGGCCTCTGAACCAAAGCTGTATTAAACGTTTGGTATTACCTAAAAATACCAAATGTAAACTATCCAATGGAAATTGTTCAATCATATCGATATTTAATTCTTCTAAACATGATATGCCTGTATGATGGTCAGGAAACTGTCTTTTTCTAAATGATTCATTAGTTCTAAGATTTGCGTCAATTTCAGGAAATGTAATTCGATTTTCAATAAAATGTCCTTCTTGGGTACATTTATAACTTCCTTCGTATCCATTATGACCCTTTACTTTACAAATGTATGATCGAGCAGGAGTATCACAAATAATAGCGTTGATAAAAATACTGATAATTTTCCCATCTACATATATTAATTCGACTTTTTTCCAGTTCCTTTATTTCATTAACAAAAGGTCTAAGAAAATCATTTGAATTTTCTGGCTTATTTTTGCCATGATAAATTCCAATTACAAATGGTTCTGTATAAACCAAAGAATCAACAGAAATTGATGCCAAAATTGGCCAAACATTACTCATAGAGCTTGTCGTCAGAGGTAATCCATCAATATGAACATCGAGTTTAATTTCTTGGGGGAGATTAGAAAAAGTGTTTTTAATCCTACATCGAATTCCAGAGGAAATTCCAAAATGTCTATAAAGACCATTTCCCATTTTATCAATATTTTTAGTAGCTATTCTTGGCGTTTCCATAATAATCCGATAATCAGTAGATATATTGAAACCGTATTTTTTCCATAGAGTGAACATAGCATTAGCAGCAGATTTCGATATGTTGAAATTTATAACCCACTGTCTTAAATCTTCAATTAAATCTTCATTATTATATTTTTGGTTACTTTTTGGAAATTCCTCATAGAATTCATCATCGCATCCTACATTTGTTTCAACAGATTTGTCAAAATCATGCGTTTCAAAATCACTGTCAACGATATTAGAATCTACTTTATGATGTAAAGGTAAATTTGCCTCTATAACTGAACAATTAGCAACATTAATCAATTGAGACGCATTCAATTCGCTGTGATTAGTTGCCTGTTTCATCGATGTTTCGACTTTTTCAATCAATAAAGGGCTGTTATGACGTGCCAATTCATGATTAATTAATTCTCGCCTTCTTCTTTTTGATAATAAATGTATCAATTTTCTTTCTATAATAAAAAAATATTGTCTACATCGCAGAGTTAACATTGCTAACAATATTAATAGCATTAACAAATACATCTATGTCGTTTCTTGTAAATATAAACTATCAACTCTTGTATATATATGTATTATAATTGATTGCTTGCAATCCGTGTAACAATTAATGTAAATGCTTCGCAAGATGCATCATTTATCCTTGTTGTTCACCGAATGTTAAGTAAGGATAAATAATGCATTATGTGCATCATCGTGAAACGGAATGCACCCGTCGTAAGCCTGTCACGAAGCAATCGCAAATCTGTAATTGGCGGTTGTAATAATAATTGATCGAATACAATCTCTTACAACTTCCCAGTGAGAAATGAAACCTCGATCGACATCGGATCGACATCGAATCGACATCGATCCGATGTCGATCGAGGTTTTATTTCTCACTAGGTTACGACTCATTGTAGACCGCCTATTATCGTAAGAGATGGCATTTGGTAAATTGCTTACACCACCAATTACAGATTTGTGCAGATTTGTGTACGACTTGCTTCCGACATCCGATCATGCAACGGCTAACGACTCATTGTAGACCGCCCATTACAACATTTTAGAGATTATATTATATAAAAATAAGCAAAAATGTACAAACGTTAATTCATCCATTTTAAAATGTAAAATAATTTAGAACCAGACAAAGAATTTATGTCACAATGCGATCGTTCATGGAACATAACCTAGATCTTATGGATAGCGATTTTGCAAAATATCTAAAGAATATTCATTAATATTATAATATATGTACAAATTTTAACGTTGTTCAACGTTGTGTATAATGATGTTATACATGTGAGTCTATCATTTAAAGATTAAAGGATTACCTTTGATGTAAATAGCGTTGTTCCTGCACACCTTTCCTCTATGAAGAGCGAACCGGAAAAGGCCTATCTATTGTTTTAATCATGAAGAATGTACGAGTATAAGGAGACCAAAGGGTGCAAACTTATAGAGCGGAACGGCGTACGCAGAAAATCGCGTAACGACAGCTTCGACCAATCACGAAAACATCGGAACATTCGTAATTGGTCAAGGCTTCCGTTCCGCGATTTTCTGAGTCACCGGCTGGTTCAGCCTATCATACAATGCCAGGCAACAGGCAATAGGAATAGGGAATAGAATTTTTGACGCGTTGGATTCGTCGGAAATTTTCTGCCAACCAATCCAACGCGTCGAAAATTCTATTCCCTATTCCTGTTCGGTCTCCTTATCAGAGAGAAGCCTGAGGGTGCTTTCACATGGAGCGTAAGTTGCGTAGCGTAACCTGCGTATCGCCAATCACAGGACTAGTTCAACGGAATTATTGAAACGGTTCTATCAGCATGACCCTGTGATTGGTGATACGCAGGTTACGCTACGCAACTTACACTCCATGTGAAAGCACCCTTTGTTTTTTTTAAATTAATAATAATAAATTAATAAAATAAACTTATTTTATTAATTTATCGGTTTTTATTTTTCACAAATTAAATATATATTATGTAATTATTTTCATCGTAAAGCGCGCACGCTTATGATGTTTTCTAGGTTACATAAAAAATATATATAACATTAAAGTAAAGCTAATGTAGCACGTGTTATATAATGTATAATATTTTAATTATATTGCAGTTACAAAAGAAAATTATGTAACGTAAACATAAATAATGTATAACTTTTGTTATATTGTGTGTTGCTCCTTATAGGTTATGTAAATAAATATATTATTCTCCGTTTGCTGGGTTTATTGCTGTAAGTGCCTGTCTACAATGAGTCGATCATTTAGTCGTTAGTCAGAGTATCATAAGTTAAGGCAATCAAAGTCTGTAATCGACGGTACTGGCCAATGACCATAGCCAAATACCCTTTCACGACTTAGGTCGGATTCAGACTGAACGCGATGAGCGATGAGCGACGAGCGATATCCAATGGGCGTACAGTCTTTATAGGAAAACTATACGCTTTCCCATATAACCTGTACGCTCATTACGTATGTGTATCGTATACATATCGTAAGCAGAGTCGGTTCTAAGCTAAGCGGGGCCGGGTGCAAACAAAAATGTGAGAATTAAAATTTATGTCTCGTTGAATTTTGTTTCATATATGTATATTAATTTCTTATTAGAAACACATAAAAGCATACATTATCTTTTAAATGAAAATATAAACTATTATACAGGGTGTCAGATTCGATATGGACAATCCCAAAGATTATAGTAGATTGGGTTAAACTGAGAAGAAAAGTTATATAAAATTTTACAAAATCCGTAATTATTATCGCCTAATTAAGAAAAACGTCTGAGCCAATAAGTGCACGGAGGAGCGGAAGACTCGGCAGATATGCAAAATGGTGTATTATTCTCCTACCACCAGAAAAACTTTTTAGGCACGGTGTCATATGTTGCGCGTTCTCTCGCTGCGCGCCGTTCGCCCGCTCACCGCTCCCCGCTCGCCCCCGTCTCTCATCGATCGATGCGTGACTCCACCTCTCGCTATCGATTTTTGAGAGATGTCAACAAACACACCATTTTGCATGTCTGCCGAGTCCGGCCTTCCGCTCCTCCGTGCACTTATTGGCTCAGACATTTTTCTTAATTAGGCGATAATAATTACGGATTTTGTAAAATTTTATATAACTTTTCTTCTCAGTTTAACCCAATCTACTATAATCTTTGGGATTGTCCATATCGAATCTGACACCCTGTATATAAAATATATTATATATAAAAAATAACGACTCTCA